TGTAAATAACATATCTGACGATTTTTTAGAAAAAATATATTCATTTTCACTGCCAAGCGTTTAATAGATCTCCTTCACCGCTGATGTATACTGTTATTTATTCTGTATGACCGTTATTAAAGGTATTACTATAGACGGATTATGATAAAAATTTTCTAAATGAAAATTCTTGTCCAAAATGTAAAATTATATGTATTATTATATATTATCATGACTTAGGTATAATCTACATAAAGGTAAGATTTTATCAACTTTTTAACTAAATAAAAAAAAAAAAAAAACTATTAAGTAAAATGATTTATATTGAAAATGAAAGACGATTAGGCTTGTTGCACTTGGGGTCGCAGCTGATTAATGGTTAAGATGCAGGAGTTGGCGTTCACGAAAAACGGTGGCTGTGGGAGATCGGTTGGAACGGGGGATCAAAGCAGAACCCTAATCTGCCTAAACCAACCTACGGACGAGTGAGCGAAAACATCACACGAAAACCCTTAAATCACCAGACGTGAGTGATGCAGATTTATTAATAACATTATAAATAATCTATCAGTCAAACGTGTCGGAAAGATTATATTTTTATTGTATTATTCATAATACAATGTCCGGTGCGCCGTGTATGTGATGTGTGTATCTATATGCGTACTATATGTTGTCGTGGGAACTTCCATGATATAATAATGTAATTATCAAGTGATATGTATACCGCGAAGAAAAGTCCGTTGCCGACAAACGCGCATATACATACAACTATATCGCTTTGACCATAATTTATTATTATTGTGATAAATACGACCACCGCGGCATTAATTAAACACGCGAGTATTGGTCCGAATGAATATTTAATATTATAACACGCAGGATGGAGAAATAATAATTAATGATATTATATGTATGTATAGAATGGTTCTTCTTTTGGGCGTTCAGCAGTCGCAAATATACGGTAAAAGTTTTCGACTCTATTTCATATCATTATAATTTATAATATTATATTACGGTTAATAAAAATATTGTCATCACGTATAATTCAATAATAATTGTTATCTTTATCATATATTTTTACTGATCCGTATTATTCTAAATCAAAATTAGGGTATTTTTTAAATACTATGTAGTTGTATAGCGCGGATCTAACGATACGTAAGATCAGTGTTATAAAAGAACTTTAACGAACATAAATTACAATACGCGCAGTGATTTAATTAATCTGGTTCGAAAAAAATGCTGTATAAGCGTGTGGTATCTACGCGAGTTTATGACGATTTCTGCAAGTAATGTAAAAGTAATTAAATAGTATATCAGATACCTACAACGTTATTAAATTACGGGTTGATTTATATTGATTTGTGGCCAGGGACAGAATACTATTATAACGTTCACGTCTTGATGTACATAAAATTAATCTACGAGTTATGCCCTTAACGCAATAATTACATTTTCCACGACTCATTACACGGTTGTCGTTCATTTATCGATTTTTCCAACAGAGACACTAAATTACATCTTTTACATAAGTTTCTATAATTCGGAATAAACAATATGTCATCGTTTCAGACAGACATACGGCTGCGGTTTTCTACCACAGAAATGAATTTACGTGAAAAATTAATCGTCAAGACCGCCCGCGCGTAATATATATTATATATTATAGTATGTCATATCTATAGACCATATGACTATTGCCTATATAATATACAATATGAATAAGCGGATTTACGATATTTCTGCTTTTGTACGCTGCAGCTGCACGCACGCATAGAAATATGATTATTGTCAATCGCAGAATATTATATATAGGTACGTATAAAGACGCAGTGCGTCATCTCACAATCGGAGGAGTAAGTACAAATTGCGTTTTCAAGGCCTAAACCCGTTCTTTTTGAAGTCATCGCTAAATAAATAACAATATATTATTACACATTATATTATGATAAATAATAAACATTGTAGCCGAGAGTCAGAAAAAAAACATATAGAATTGTTTGACGCGGAGTATGAATAATCGTATATTGAATAGGGTATACGTAGGAACTAATATAATATATTATGCAGTCGTCGCAATTTTACGGTGTGATCCATTTGACTGACCACACTAATTTTCTAAGTAAATGTTTATATAGATATAAGTGTTTATAAAACTAAAAAGAAGTATAAGTTTTTATCCATTCGTGATTGTTTTTAATATTTGAAAATATCACCTTAAGTTTTTATTTCATCATCAGAAGTATAAATATTGATATATTGAATAATAAATTTAGTTTTTTATTAATAAGCGTTTAAAATGTAAACGAGTGATGGGTAGTGAATTTAAATATTCTTGATATACCTACCTATTGCAATTTAATTCTATTCGTCTATTTACATAAATATAAATATTATTTTAATATTCGGTGTTTATTTTATGTATCAATATTTTTAGAAAAATAATATGTAGTTCTATTTTGAGATTAAATTATATAGGTATAGGCTGTCATAAAAACCACTAATAAATAATTTTGCATTTTTGTTGACACATAAAATACACTAAAAAGTTGTTCAAGCCATAAATATATTTATTTTTTTGACACGAAAATTTAAATAAAAATAATTGAAAATTAAATATCAATAAATAGATCTCTTTATATGATACCTATATGAGTTAACCACAGTAATATAATATGCATATCCATTTTTAATGCAAGAAATACAAAATAACTCTATCATATAGGCATGAGCCCCGAGCTAAACTGCAGCGTATTCGCGCGTTTTCCATTTACACCTGTGAGAGCCTATAAAATAATAATTTTTACGGTAAACACAAAATGTTAAATGTTAAACGGTAAGAAAAAAAAACGTTTAGAAAAAAATTTTCCCACAATAATATTATATAATATTACGACGGCCGTCACCGGTATGGACGCAAATCCGTTATGGTGCGCGCGAGTTAATTTATTTAAGAGCCTGGGTGTGTAAATATATAGTATAGAAAAAAGGTTTACACACTGTCCAGCGGCGAGTGAGTATATTATATTTAATAATATTGTGTTTCACACGACGGTGGAAATATAGAATACCACGAACGGATCTTGTCTGTGTATGCATGGCCACATGCGTATATTTATATTCTATATACATATATATTATTATGTGTGTGTATGTAATATACTACGGTCCACAAGTGATAAATCATGTTCGTAAAATAATAAAATTCATAAAATTACGAAAAACACATCGAGAATAGTACCGTATAGTACGCGAAATTTAAAAAAAAAACCAAGAACAAGACATTTGAGACATGATTGTCAGAATTTCGTCGATGACTACCAACTATATTTTTTTCTTATATGTAAACGTTAACGAATACTCAAATTATTATTTTTCACTAAAAATGTTTTGATTCAAGTATTTCTAGTGTAATAATAAAGGTAATGTATAAATAAATGTATTGTATATTAAATAAAACACGTTTACACTTTTAACGTTGATGAAACTTAGAAAGCGGGGTAAACAATATGTCGGCCGTTATTTCAAATATTTTATACTAGAACATAATATAGACATATTATTAAGAACTTATCTCTAACACAACCATATAGTATTATGATATCAGTATAAAAATTTAATTCTAAATTATGAATAATTTTTCGTCGTTTTTACGAAAAACAATAAAATAGTAGATTTTTCAAATATCTTAATTTAATACCATTGAACGATTAATTATTTTGGTGCTGCAGTTACATCGTGGTATACGTCCATACGAATGAGTAGAACAAAAGTGTCGAACTCTTTCATTGACACGGCATCGAAACAATTAATAAGCTGTATATGCCATCGACCGTCGTGCATTGCTGGTAGGTAAGCCTGTAGGCGAGCGAATCGTTTCGTCCATTCAATTTCAAATGTTACAGGTTCTCGACCCACCAATCGTCACGTCTTTCTCGTCGAACAGTACGTAATACTTTTATTTTATTTTTTTTTTTAATCGAACATAATACGTCATCCGTCCGCAACAGAACTTCGGCTACAGCATAGACTTTGGCACGCACGCCAAAATGGCGCACCGCACTATCGTAGCATCGCTATATGACTATGACACATGCATGGACGGAAATGCAGCTATAGCGCGCACACATGCAGTCGCCGCCGAATCAATACGATGCACCGCGGTCGTCGCGCGTAGCTTATAATAATAATAATAATAATAATAATAATAATAATAATAATAATAATAATACGTATACGGTGGGTTATCAGGTGCACGCCGTGTGTACGATGCATATGCACCCGCAGATCGCGGCTGCTGCACCGCGTGTACCGCCGGGCAGACGGGAGCGAGCGTGGCGGTGAGGGGTCGGGCTGGCGCATGGGGGGAGGAGCGTCGAAAAACGGCACCTCTCGTTCCGCGCTACAAGCGTACAATATTGCGCAAGCCCCGGCGGCCACCCGTCCGGTACACGCTATCGCCGCGCCCGTCCACCGGCCCACCGCCGAAAGACGGACAACGCGCGCGTCCACCGCCACCGCCGCACCTCCACCGCCACCGATCTTGAACTTGAGTACTTGACAGACCGTCGGCGACGAAAGTGTGTCTCTCTCGCGGGGCGCGCGACGTTACCCGCAGGCGCGCGCCGGGCGGTGCGCGTGTACACGTCCGCCACCACGGCGGCGGTAGGGGAAGTGGAGCCGACGCGCGAAGAACTGCTCCACGGCGGCGGCGGCGGCTATACCCATCATCATCATCGCCGTCGTCTTCGCCGTCGCCGTCGCCGTCGTCGTCGTAGTGGTCTCGTCGTCACCGTCAGTGGTCGTCGGTTCGTTGTCCCGTAACGCCGCCGCTAGCTGCCGGCTGATCACTGTGGTCCCAACACGCGCGCCGTACGCACACACGATCGTAACGATAATAATAATAATAATAATATTATATTACTATTGTCGTCGTCGCGGTGTGATTTTATAATATAATATTATATTATATTATTATTTTAATAATAATAATATATTGTTATTTTTCGCGACGAGATAATTGTACATTGTTGTTATTATTATTGTCGTTGTTGTCGTATATATATATATCGATAATAAAATATCGCAACAGACTGTACACAATATTACTGCGGCCGCCGTCCATTCGCGGCAGCACTCGCTCTGGGATGCGGCATAATTGATTGTCGCAGACCGTCGTCCTGTATATCATTGTACGTTATACAATAATTATCGCCACGGTAAACTCGAGACGATAATATCTCATATTGTACACGTCGGAACCGCCGGAAAATCGGAAACGGCTGCAAAAAAATCGTTTTGTGGAAGGTCAGTAAACGAATTTTATTTTATTTTTTTGTGTAACATTAAATTTCTGCTCGTTGAGTACGAAATTCCAGGTAACCGCAGCCATTTACTACTACGGGGGTGTATATACTGTTTATGTGTTCGAACAGAGCTCATACTATCTTTTATACTAAGGAGTTTTACTTTCTGTTTCCCCGGGGTCCGATGCGTAAAAACACACTGCGCAAACTGCATTTACTATAATAGACGAATAATTATTTATTCGTCATAGGATAATAGATAGCTGGTTGTATTTCTTAAAAAATATCGATTTGAAAATCGATTAATTAACACTGACGATGCACAAATGTCTATAAACCGCTTAATTGAATATATATTTTGTCTGTTGTATTGGTATAATTTATATTTTATCAATTAATACTTTACCTTATATTTTACGACTCGGAAGGTTTTACTAAAAAAAAAAAAAATCTCGATCATTATATTTTCCTTTTTTTTTTTTTTTCAATATTAAAATACGCAATATTACATTATTGAGGATATAATATATAAATTTTTAAAATTCCATTCTTCGTAATTTTATTATTAAACAGATTCCAGTACGTATTCCTTAAACATTAATTCATAAATTTTATTCGAAAAAATGTCTTTAAGAGAACGTTAATAAAATACGTGTATGCATAGCGAATCGTATAAATAGACGTGAAAACGTTACGGGTAATGTAGCATTAGAATACATTTTGAACAATATACCGTTTGACAGATTTAATTTTCAAAAATTCTTATGATAAATTAGTTTATTCGTGATAAAAATCAAAAAATGTTTATACACAAAAACTTATAAATTGTGCCATATTGATAAAAAAAAAACCCATTTATTAGTGCATAATTTTAAAATAATGAACAAAAAAAGTCGATAAAGATGTCGACAGAAATTACTAAAACCAATAAAATCTAACCAATTATTAATTATTAATCACCCGATCATACGAAACGTACAATTACGTGTTCAGATTATTTTATTTTACTAACTATTTATTCATAGTATTATACTATAGTTGTGATTATAATTATTTAAAAATTAAATGTTTTTTCATTTATCATTTGATATGAAATTGAAAAATGTATAGGTACATTTTAAATCGTTCTTACAGTACATTGATTAACAATGCATCAAATTTAAAGTACACATTATATGTTATAATATTATAATTTTTACAATAATTAGCTTAAAAACAAATATCTGCTTATTTAAAAAAAAAAATAGCTCATAACTTTACTTACATTTAGAATATTTTTAAGTTTTTAAAACATCATTGTAGGTAAGGAAAAATAAATTTTATTATTTATATATATATATATTATATTTTCATGTATCATATTGGTCTCATATACAATAATATACACATAGTATAGTTAATACATACACATTTCTTTAAATTTTTAATAACTATAAAAAATGTGGGTTTATAAATATATAATAAGATCTGTAAATTTCATAATTTCATTAACTCGAATAAAAGTATTTTAGGTCAATTAATACATTAATAAAATATGTAGGTTCATTTTTAAACGATTAATCATATCTAAATCTATAACTAACCTATCTATACAATAATATGTTAATTATTAAGACATGACTGATTTTATTGAAACAATAAATATTGTTAAAAATACGTTAAAACAATAATTATACCTCATTAAAATATTTGGAAAAAATTTTTTTATTTGTACACAATATAAAAATATATTTCAATAATAACTAAGAATACGGCAGAAATAAAAATTACCTATCGGTACTTTTATTTTAATCATTATAAAAAAAGGTTTAAATATGTTTTTAAATCAGTTTTAAATCTAAGCCCACATAATGTCCACTATATATAGTCAAAATAAGATAGTATCACATAAAATACGCATACGACCAATTTTTATGTAATATCATAAGTTTTCCTTATGATTGATGAAAACGATAATAATTATTATCTTAAAATTAAATAATACTGCGTTTCACTAACTATTGTATTTTATCGACCACTATATATAAATATAGGTACAGTAATTATTTCCATATACCTTGACACAAATGACGAATGTTTCATAAAAATATAAAAAAAAATTAAAATTGAGACTTAAAATAAACAATTTTATGTACAGTGGTGGTACCGAGTTGCACAAATATTTGATAAATTTCACAGTTCATTAAAACGTGATGGACTAATCACGTGGATTGCATTATAATATAACGTTTTAGAAACTGTTTAATTTTAAAAATTCGTAGAATATCTAACAAACAACACCAATAGCTGTGCAACGTGGTATAAATGGAAATGTTTATAATTCATAGAATATTGATCGATTTATGAGTAAAAAAACATGTAATTAAAATTCATTCGGCATTGCAATTTGTAAGTGACATAAATTACACACACACACACTTATACTAGTATATGCCAAAAATTGCACAGGAGACGTAATTAAGTCAACAGCCTTAGGCCATTTCGTAAAATAATATTCGCGGTGTACTCGAGCCTCGAAAGCGTGAACACTTTTGGTCGAATGCAAATAATACGTCTGGGGAGAATAGTAGGTACATAATATTTTATAAATAGCGGCCAAGGTGAGACGAGTTTGTTAAGTATCCGGTGTTCAAAACCAGTTCTTATATTTTCCAAAGCACTTAATAATCTTCCGTTATGTTTGGTCGACATTCCACTTGCAGCACTACAAACATGTTTTTTTCTTCTGTAATCAATTATATCAATCGCGTCCATCTATTTTCTAGTAGCCCAAAAATCTCAGGTGACGAATGGTCGGGGATCAGTCCAAACTCGGTTAATGAGTCGATGCCCCGCGATATCTTCAGTAGGTCACTGTCGCTATAAAATAATATTGACCATCGATCTAAACTATAAATATTCAGAGATGACAATTCAAAATCACAACGACTGACTGCATATATTTGCATAGATCGAGAAATTTTTATCGGGGCCCTTAAAACGATGAGTTTATATTACGCTGTTTACGACGTGTGCCGATGTGCGTATATTATAAAACTTTTGCCGCCCGACGAGTTGATTTGACATAATAATATTGTTATTATATCGTTTATAATTATTTAACTTAGAAGGGAACAATAAGAGTAGTCGTGAATAACCGTACCTATACAAGTACAAATGTTATTATGACAAATTAAGTGACACATCTGTAAGACTGGTTTCTTCTATAGTGATGATAATTACAGGTCATGCTACTTATTTTATAACGGATGATTATCTCACGGTACAATCGTTGTTTCAAGAAGATTATATTAAAATTACGAGACGGTCATAAAACTTGGAGATATTATTTACATTTTAATTAACATTACCTATCGTAAAATTAATTTATAAATATTCTTTAAATAATGCATTATGCAGCCAAATATAATCGTGAATCACAATCGTGTGGTCGGTCAATTTTATCTGCGTGACAGTATTTTATCGGAGGAAAACTATACAACATTTGTCGAAACTTTAATTTTCCTTATTATATATAACGTAACCTCAACACTATGATAACGACAGTGGTTTTCGTAAAGTTACAAACTAAATAAACAAAAAAATAAATATTGGACCTGAGGGACCTTAAAGAATTTCATGAATTTTAATCAGATAAATTGTCTTCAAATAGCTTTTAAGCGTAATAAATTGTTATGCCTTTGAACCTTTTAACAGTCAAAAATATTGAAATATTTTATTTTATTTATTTACTCCCTCATTAAATGTAATTTTCATTTTTACCCAACGCTATTGATAACTCCTCGCGACAACAAGTGGTATCAATCTCAGTTTACGATATACCTAGTATTAAAAAATCTATGTAATAATCATGTATATTATGGATATAAAAAAAATAACTCCGAGTCTCATATGATTTTAACAGAAATTTTGTTAATTTTCTGTTTCGTTCGATATTACCGCGCTGCACATACGTATAATTCGACAGTCTTACACCCCCGACATATCGTTCGTCGTGCAATATATTATTACACGGTACAGTGTCCCCTCGACTCGATGATTAATGGTGATCACCCTTTGCACTGTTCAGTAGAGTATATTCGCAAACGGGCCCCCATTCATGACCTTTGGTGCACTCGTGCGCGGTTAAAGGTCGTCTATGTATCCTCGTTTTAGTAGAATGGGTTCAAAATTGATTTGTCCGCCGGGTACTATTATTTTGTTGTTCTGAAATCTTGCTAATGACCGCGAAAAGGGGCTTTCGATTCTCGAATCCCTACGCACGTTCTGGATTTATATATATTGCACGTGTACAGTACAAAAAAAATAGTGTATACACTCGACCTTAACTTTGTAAATGACCGACGCAGCGTTGTGTGCGTGAGAATTAAACGCGCGTGTACAACAATCGCTTCGGAAGGTGGTACATTATAGAGCCACCATCATAGTCGTCGACCTGTCAGCTTTTCAAAATCCACTCGTCGTGTACGTATTATTATATTATCGTGAAAAGAAAAAAAAATCATAATTTCCGTGTGCCTTCTGCCGGTCATCATTTGAATCGGTACATTACGATGCAAATTACTCGTCACTATACACACACACACAAAATATACATAAGAAAACCCGAGCAGCGCAAATAATTTAGCAAATATCAGACTTCATGCACACACATATATATAGACGTTAGACGTGATTCACAATTTGCATTCATTAAAGAATATTTAAATGCATATCTTCTGTACGGCGTGTAATGCGTGTATGGAACATACCTATATGTAAATCAAGACAACAACAGTTACAACTTCAAAATTCTTTTTTTGTCTTCTGAATTTTGCTTCATATTTTCGATCGAGCTTATGAACAACATCTTGCGTACGTTATTTTCACGATCGTTAAAACACAACATCGAGTAATTTGTGTGTGTGTGTGTATATTTAGTTTTTTCTTATCTAATCTGTATCTCTGTCCCCTCTTCCACAATTCACAAACAATGATTTATTGGTGCAACATTTTAATTTC